GGGGGGGGGGGTATTTGATGTTTCCTTCTTAGGACTAGTACTTTGCAATTGTTTTTACTGAATTTTAACTTCCTGATTTCAGACCAGTTCTCCGGTTTATCAAGATCATTTTGAATGTTAACCTTCCCTTCCAAAGAGCCTGCAACCCCTCCCAGCTTCATGCCATCTTCACATTGTGTGGGCCTATTCGCTACTCCATCACCCACGTCATGTAAGAAAATATTGAGTAGTACAAGCCCCAGGACAGGGCTCTAATGTATTCATCCACAGGAACACAGCAATCCCAGAGAAAGGGGTTAAAGCAACTGACAGCCCATAGGCCCATGTCTTACCTAAAGTTCAGCAATTCTCTGAAAACCTGGACTGACTCAGCTTATCCTAGGAACTCCTGCTTCTGGGAATTGTGTTTCAGGTTCCTTCCTTGCAGCCCCTGCTCCACCTCCTCTTCATCAGAGCTCCCTTTTAACAATCCCCCAGCTCTCTGTGTAAAATGTCCTACCTGAGGGGCCTCTCCCAAGTTAGGGGGCTTGGCTCAAGTCATAATCAGGAGGGCTGACTAGCAGCCTGGTGGCTAAGGGGTTAATCTAGCCAGGTGTCTGGTCAACCAATAACAATGCAGGTAGGGATTTCAACTGGGACAAAGGAATTTTTATCTTTTCTCTCCTTTGCCAGTGTCAGAGCAGTTTCTTCCAAGTAATAGGGAGATGGGAAGGCCTGTCTCTCTCCAATAAAAGTAGGGCAAAGTTTAGTTAGCCCATCAGGTTTTATTGTGTTCTGGTTTGAGGATTCAGAACTGATGTGTGCTGTTACAAGTTTTTTTTCTCTCTTTTGTAACTAAGTTTTGAGCCCATGGGGGGCGGGGTCTCCCATGAGTATATCAGTTGGTGGCTCTTGCCATCTAGCCACCGCAACTATGCTTACAATTGTAGTTTTGTTTTGATAATAAAAGTTTGTTTTCTTTTTCTTACTTACCAGTATTGGTTCATTTTTGTGTCCTTAAAGGTCTGTCGGTCTGACTAGGAGTCAGCTACCACAGACTGCAACTTGTTTTTTCTTTTCTTTTCAAGCTCTTTGGGAAAAAGAGCTTGATGTACCCCTGAGGTTTTAGGGAGGAACTTTCCCAAGTGATCTCTTCCCTGTTTTTTTTTGAATACTTCTGTGGTGACAGTGGATATTCCCCAAACTCCAGGTATTAGGATTTTGGAGGGAAGTTTTTTGTACCAAAGTCTTTAGAGACAAGGTTTTGGGGTGCTCTTGCGTGCCACCACTTCTGCATTTATCATGCCAGAGTGGGGAACAGCCTTGACAGCTCAGTTTGACCAGATTCAAAAGTTCAAAGGCCTTGACACCTGAATTGTCAGTGAGGTACCAGTTACTGGGTTCTCTGAGCCACTCTCTGCCTTCCTGGGACATGTGGGGAGCTCAGGTGGGGGCTGCCCTTTGAACCCTGGTGGGAAACATGAAAATAGAAGGAAGAGGAACTGAGGTACAGATAATATTAACACAAATACAGGTGTGTCCAAAAGGGCTAACAAGACCCTTGGATGTATGAACAGGTGAGTAGTGAAGAGACCTGACTGAAATGCAGAATTTCCAGTGTACAGGACATTTTGCTATTTTAAAGTTTCCTATGAACTGAAAATCGGGCTTAAATTAGTTTTGGAAACTCCAGACCATGGTGTATCCAGATTTGCCACCAGGAACTCTAGCAGATGCTGAGTAACACTGACATTCTTGTCAGTTTCACCTCTGCTAACATGCTAAGCAAGCATGATAATTTCTCAGTCCACTGCTGGGACTGCAGCTTCATTGTGTGGTCTGTCTTGGATGTCCAGGCTTCCAGACTCCTTGTGCAACTGGCAGCCTAAATAGGCAAATAGTCCTTTCTGGGACATTTGGCAAGTCAGGGCTGCCCCACAACCCATCCCAGGAATTCCAGAATCCCTAATGCAAATCATGGAACTGAGCCTGGATTAGCACTGATCCTCCCAGGACTTGCAGGTTCTTGTCCCCTAGCAGAGAGCCTGAAAGCACTGGCAGGCTTTCTCTGGAGGTACGGACCCTAGAAAGACTGAGGTCTGCAGTTCTGGAGGAATCTGCATGACGTGGCTGCCCCAGAGCCACAGAACCTAGAAGACTGGGGTACCCAGCCCTGGAATAATCTATGTGGCAGGATTAACAGGACCCACCCAGGAACCTGGCCAGGAACAATGGAGCTTTCCACCAGACCCTGTCAGTGGTTTCGAGAATGTTAATTGAATGTGAATCGCTTTCATGAGAAATGCTGAGTTCAGCAAACTGCCATTTTCCAATGAAATTCTGGTTTGTTAGATAAGTTCCAACCAGCTCTCGTGAAGAGGTGCATGTTCAGAGCAAACTGGTTGCCTTTCCGGAAGATATACGTTGGCCAAAGACAAGTTATTAAATTCAGTACAGGAGTAATTGAATTACATTCCCCTAAATTCTATTATTCTATTATAGTCAATAGAATTAAGTTCTATAGCCTTTGTTACCTAGGAGGTCAGGCTAGATGATCTAAAACTCTCTTCTGGTCCTAAAATCATTAAAGCTATGGCCTGGTGTACACTAGCACTTTAGGTCGAATTTAGCTGCATAAGATCAATTTTCTAAACACTACCACACTACCAAGGCCATTCTGCCAAGTTTAAGGGCTGCTGAAGTCGACTTGGGGCACTCCTGCTTTTACAAGAAGTGATGCACTCTCACATCCACATGTTCATAAGCTGTTCCAAGCCCCCCCGCATTGCTCCCTCCCCCTGACTCAGCTGGCCGGGGCATTCAGCCCTCCGACACTACCCCAGCAGATACCATGAAGCCACCACCACTACTCACCTTCTGTTTGATAGGTGCTGCTCTGCAAATGAGGAGAGCAGATCTAAAATGTATTGCGCAGCGCACGGGCACCCAGTTCAGAGGGAACTGACGATCGATCTATGGATACACTGTGATCTACTGGTTGGTGACCACGGGCCTACATAGTGCGGGGGGCCCAGAACAACTTGAGAACTTGTCTAGAGGTACAGAAGGAATTCTCCCTGCACATCTCCATGAAGCTCTCGGATAGGAACACTTTTATCCTCCTCACATGGTTTCTGGGGAGGCCTTCATAGAATCAAAGAGACCTCAGGAGTCATCGACTCCAGCCCCCTGCCCAAAGCAGAACCAACCCAACAAACCATCCCAGCCAGGGCTTTGTCAAGCCAGGACTCTGTCAAGCCAAGACTTCCTTATTCCTTTCT